TAGCATGGGACAACAACACCAGCACCAGCACCAGCACCAGCACCAGCACCCATACCCACACCCACACCCACACGCACACGCACACGCACACGCACACCCACACCCACACCCACACCCACACCCACACCCACACCCACTCCCACACCCACACCCACACACACACACACACACCCACCCACCCAAACGCACATGCACACACATGCACACACATGCACACACACACACACATGCACATCATGCACACACTTGCACACACTTGCACACACACGCACACACTGCAGTTCGCATCATACAAAGGTGGTGAGGAGGAGGACGGGTTGCTGCACCAGTCATCTGATTCAGTGAGACTAGCACCGCATCGCCGAAAAGAGAACATCGGAATGTGATTTCATGTGGGTTCGCGATGAGGATGAGGCACCGGAAGAGGAATTGTAACCTGCCTGAATGCTTTGGCAAGCATCATGGCATCTCTTCATGGCATGGTGCCGCTTGGAGCCGATGCATCGAGCATTGGCTGCTAAGGACTTCTCATTTGGGCTGTGAGTGCGCACCGCGCCCTGACGTGCTGGACAGATACATGGATGACCCCCTCTTCCACAACTTGGACACTGTGGTCGAAACAGCGAGCATGGCGTCTGGAGAAAGGCGGAGGGTTGCTGTTCAGCACGAGCGATGCTTGCGAAGGAGACCGGCGAAATCGACATCGAGAAGATTCCGTTCAAGGATCGGATCGCAGTTGAGGCCATGCAAAACTACCAAGAGCAGCCTGGCGGCAGCGGGAAGTGGTGGCCTATGAGGGTGGTCCGGACTCGTGGGAACCCTCCGAGGAACGGAGGAGATCTATGCCAGCAAACTCCTCACAGTGGCGAGTTCCTGGTGTGTCCAGCGGCCAAGGGTTGCGTTTGGCACTTGGTGCCCAATTCAAGTATACAGTTGTTCCGGATTCTCCCTTCGAGTTCCTGATTGCCCCAGGCTGGCAGCAATGTTGCCGGCCCAGGCTCCCGCGTTTCCGTCACATGGAGCACGGCCAACAGTGTCACTAGTTCAGGGGTAGCATGAATAAGCGGCGGATTCGGCTAGCGGCCAGGTGGAGCTCTGCCCAGTGGCTGGCTGCATGCCCAGATCGGCACACAAGCCATGGTTGAATGGTTCTTCCGTCGAGCATCCGAAGAGGCAGTTGAGTGCTAAAGCGGATTGTAAAAGGTGATCATGGCGGTGAAGGATGTCAAGACCATGGGAGAAATCGATACGAAGGTCCAAAAGATATAAGATGCGTCTGTGACAGCCGCTCAAAGATTCATTGAATTGTTGGTGCGCACAGGTGTCGTTTCTAGTGTCTCGGGTCTGTTTTTTCCATGATTTTCCATGTGATGTGTTTGATCTGGGTTCTGCTTCACATGCTGCCCCCAATCTCCCTAGTACAGTTTATTATACGTGAAAGCAGCATCAACAGCAGGGCAGGGCATAGTGGCGCACACCGTAGGAGCACGGAGCAACAGCGTGCATGGTGTGACGAGAGCCCTCAGAACTCTTCCCTTCTGAGGTTTTCAGGAGTCAGCGGCAAGAGCTGGGACTTCTGCGCGCCGGCCAGGGCCCTGCACCACGAAAGGTAACTCAGAGCCTCGGGCCGTGAGCAGCGCAGCATTGTGACCGAGGCGGCGAGGCCAGCTGAGTCAGAGGCGAGCGCAGAAGCATTGCGAAAGACGTGCACTTTTCTTCTGATTCTTTCCAGGAGCCTGGAGAAGGCTCGCCCATTGCAGCGCTCAGGGTGGAGCATTGATGATGTTCCCCTGTCTATCTGTCTCTGTCTCTCGCTCCTTCCCGCCCTCTCTCATTCTCTCTGTCTCTGTCTCTGTCTCTCTTCTCCCTTCCTGCCCGTCTACTGTGGGTCTTGCCTTTCACGCGATGCTTCCCTTTGAGTTGTCTCGGCGTATGTCTGGACTGATGGTAGACCTGAATCAGCTGCAGTCAGTGAGAGGGGTTTTCGAGATTGGCATCAGGTCCCAAAGGCCCAAAGCTTGAATCGATTTGTCGCTTTGCTCTGAGGCGAACCGGGCTTCGACCAGCTCGCCTCCAAGAGAGTTTCACAGTTTCACAGGGTCAGTCCGTAGCCTAAGTTCCTGGACCAAGGACAGGCAACGCCCAGTACGGCTACGACCAGCAATATGGTGCTTATGGCCAGCAAGCGATGCACTATCAGTGCGTTCCCGGAGCTGTGCCGCCAGCTTAGTTATCTGCGGGCTGTGATCCTGGCGCCGGTTCCATGTTCTCGTAACCGAGGACCTTCTTGGTGGTAGCTTTGCATCAACTGCAAAGATCAAGTAAGAGCGCCAAAAAGGGCTCTTTTCTGTGAGTCCAAGCTGGGCTTTCCTCGCTTGGGCGAGCTGGTTCGTTTTCCATTGAGTCGTGTTGCTCCGCGTGAAAATCACGAGACCTTGCCTAGTGGTCGGCGAGCTTCCAGACAATGATTCGGCAGTAGTCAGTGATGGAGATGGGGGGCCCCATCCCCTTGGGCCCGGCTTGCTCCAAGCAGAGTCGGATGCCGAGCGCTCCACGACCTGCTCTGAAACGAACAAAAGGCCCTTCCTCCCAAGTCCGCGAGAGGCCGGCATCGCTTTCTTTGCTGCCCCAGCTGGCTGTTGCAGCAGCATGCAGGAAGTTGCATCTTTTGGCGGCACCATCTTATAAGCTGCTTTCTTGGAGAAGACATTTCCGTGCCATGTTGCTTTCTGGTCTTTCGCAGCTTAGAGTTGCGTACATGTGCCCTTGATAGACCCTACACGCGCACGACTGCACCAGCCACCTGACCCGAAACGTGAGCACGGCCTCGCCATGGCACAAACACGCAGGTTTCAGACACACCACAGCGACAAGAGGGCTTTAAGGTGCTGTGGCACGTTGCGTGGCCATGAGATGCCTTCTTTTGGCGGTTCTGAGCCTGCAGGAAGGTCGACCGCCCCAGGACATGCTCAGAGACCGGGCACCTGCCTATCGTTTTTTTGGTGGCAGGCACGGCTTCGCATCGACTTCTCCCAAAGCTCTGTCCAGAATGCTTGGCGGAGCCTTTGGAGACAGACTATTTTGGAGGTCGGAGGGCTGGATCGGTGGATCCCACGTGTTGGTGAGATGTCTGGGGGCAGACAGGAGTCCCTGGCGGAGAGCCCCCCCGGCTGCGCGCGCCGACGCCTGCATCCTTCGATGCAGCAGCTCGTTCTGGCAAGGCCTAGCTCAGCCACGGCTCCCAGAACAGCTCTTACTGTAACAACCCTTGCATTACTCTTGCACCGCGGTTCTTCTGCTAGGTGTTAATCTTGGAGAATGCCTCCAGCGGCGCCGCTCTGGAGGGTTGGACATGTGAACGCCTTGCTGAGGAGCTTGCGCCGATACAGCTTCGTTGCTGTTGTTGAATGTTGCTGACCTGCTTTGTGCTGCGGGCTGGGTTGAGAAGGATAGGCGCGATGATGTCATTTTGCGCCAATTCCTTCCTATTGCGAGGCTAAGCTCTAGCTCTGAACGTGCCTACGCAGCTATGGCTCACAACGAGCGAGGAGTTTCCGGAGGCCAAGATGCGCAGAGAGTACGACTGGGTCAAGAATCCCAAGGCCAGGCCCAAAAGCTTCTCAGCAGATACTTCTCAGCAGATACTATAGAGTTATACACACTTTGATGAATAGACATGGATGCATGGAGGGGGGGAGGGAGGGAGGGAGGGAGGGAGGGGGAGGGAGGGAGGGAGGGGGGGG